ATCCTAACCCGCTTGGGTGTAGGTACCGCCACTTTTGCAAGAAACCTCCACATTCGTAGGTATTTATATAAAGGCTTGTGATCTTTTCACAACTCATATGGAGTCTTGTCCACTTTCTTCCGTGGTATTCTATTAAGAATATAATTCGTGGAGAGAATTGCTTCCCCCCATAAGTTCTGTAGCAACCCAGAACTTATCAACATTGCATTCATCATCTCTTTCAGCGTCCTGTTCTTCCGCTTAGCAACATCATTTGACTGAGGTGAATAAGGCGTTGTGGTTTGGTGAATAATCCCAAATTGAGCACAAGTCTCGGCAAACGGGGATTCATACTCACCACCACGATCACTTCTCAATGCCTTGATTTTCCGGCTTAATTGATTCTCAACTTCATTCTTAAAAAGAATAAATTTATCAATAGCCTCGTCTTTGCTTTTAAGCAAATACACATAACAGTATTTAGTGTAATCATCAACAAAAGTGATGAAGTACTTGTTGCCACCACGTGATTGTACAACTTTCAAGTCACACACATCACTATGCACTAAACCCAAAGGCTGGGTACTTCTTTCAATATAATGAAAAGAAGACCTTGTCAATTTTGCTTCTACACAAGTTTCACACTTGTGTTGTGGATTAATCTTGAAAGATGGTATATGATCTAACTTGATTAATCTACGTAAAGAGTCAAAATTTACATGACCCAATCTACCATGTCATAAATTAGGGGACTCAAGCATATAAGTAGAAGAAGAAGCTTTCTCATTAATCTTAGGGATAAGTGTCATTACATTCAATTTAAACATACCACCTGACAAATATCCCTTCCCCACATAGACCCCGCCCTTGGTCAACACGACCTTGTCTGATTCAAACACCATGCGGAAGCCATGCTTGCTTAGGAGAGATCCTGAGACAAGGTTCTTACGAATGCCCAGCACAAAAAGGACATCGTTCAAAGTCAGTTCTTTTCCTGAAGTCATCTTCAGGATCACCTTGCCTTTACCCTCAACAGCTGAGGTTATATAGTTTCCCATAAACAACTTCTCCCCGTTTGAAACCGGTTCGAAAGTTGTGAACATTCTCTTCTCTGCACAAATATGGCGAGTGGCCCCAGTGTCCACCCACCACTCCCTCGGGTTTGACCCCACCATGTTCACTTCTGACACGACGGCTGACAGATGCATGTCGTCCACATCGTGTGACAATTCCTTCATTTCAGCCATATGTGCCTAGTTTTTGTGTTGGGGAGGGTTTTTCCTGTAGGGCTTCTTCTTCAAACAATCAACTGCTCGATGCCCGTCACTTCCACAGTTGAAGCATTTGCCATCGAACCTAAAAGTAGGCTCCTTTGGCTTGTAGGCTGGCCTTTTGGAGATTCCTTCTCTAGCTCCCAACTTTGAGCTTTTACCTGTCGGTGGTTTTTTCCTCGCCCCCGAGGACTCGCCATACTCAACCATGTTGGCTTTGACAGTGGAGGTACTCCCTTCTTTCTTCCTGTTGTCCTCTTCAATTCGGAGCCTGACAATGAGCTCTTCGACTGTCATCTCCTTTTGTTTGTGCTTCAAGTAGTTCTTGAAGTCTTTCCAGCCGTTAGGCAGCTTCTCAATCAAAGCAGCTGCCTGGAATGACTCACTTAGGACCATCCCTTCTGCATGTATCTCATGCAGAATCACTTGGAACTCTTGGACTTGACTCAGGACAGTTTTAGAGTCCACCATCTTGAAGTCCAGGAATCGGCCGGCGATAAATTTCTTTACCCCAGCATCCTCGGTCTTGTACTTTTTGTCCAAGTCATCCCACAACTCCTTAGTCGATTTCTTGGCATAGAACACGTTGAAAAGTGGATCCGCCAGGCCGTTCAGAATGTAATTCTGGCATAAGAAGTCTGCTTGTTTCCAAGCGTCCAGAGCCATGAGCTTTTGTTTATCTGGCTCATTCTCCTCTACGGTTGGTACATCTTCACTCAGAAATCTCGCAAGGCTTAGAATAGTCAAATAAAACAGCATCTTCTGCTGTCATCTCTTGAAATTTACTCCCGTGAACTTCTCCGGGTGCTCGTGATGATTGAGCGGTTCTCTCGGAACAACCGAAGTAACAATAGGAAGATTGACCACAGAGGTCACAGCAGGGGTTGGCAAGCCAGTCGCCCCGGGGTTCGGATCTCCACCAACATTAGCAGCAGCAGTAGCAGCATCAGAGACAGTTGCCATTTCTGAAAAATTACTGCAAAATCTTCACTATTTTGTATTTTCAGAAATCAAACTTAACACTAGAAAATCCCACAATTGGAAATTTAATTCAAGACTAGTCTCACCACGCAACCTAGAGTCGAACATGTCAGGAAAGTTTTCAGGAAGACTGAAGGGGTCACACCGGTCCCACTTAAAACCCAGTTAACGTTAGACAAAACTTTCAAGAGCGTGTTGACTCCTAATTCATGGGAAACAACTTTAAGAATTAAATTTTCCAAGGGATGAACTAGGTTAAGCACACCAAGTTCCAAACTGTACAAGCAGTTACAACAAAATTGCTACAATAATTACAAGCAAATAAAACGTGCTTTACATATTGGTGAATAACCACAAATGAACACTCAAGCAAACAATTGCTTCAAATATTTAGTCCAAATTAATCCTTTTTCCCATTTCCAAAGGTATTCCTGCAATAAAGAGTTAGCAGCAAAATACAACAAAACCTCCCTCAGTTTTTCTTTGCTTTTGGCAAAGTAGTGATTGAAGGGGAGGGTACTAGCAAATAAACTAATAAATAACTGTAAGTAAAGATTAAAACCAACCCTTAAGTTACACATCTAGAATTTAAACTAAAAAAAAACTGTAAAAAATTAATTACATAATAAACATGTAATTAACTGAGGCAAGTTACAAACATTTTATAACTTCTAAATACTTAAATCACATTACTAGGCAAGAATTGCAAATGACATGATTAACATGAAAATAATTCTAGAGAAATTAACATGAATTTAAATATAGGCAAGTTATAAACTTTACAACTGCACACCTAAATTAAAGATTAATAGGTACAAGTTACATGAAAATTTACTACCTAATAAACATGCTAGAAATGTAAATTACACTAAAAATTAAACCCGAATAAACATGTAATTTATATTGTAAATTAGAAGCATGTAAATCTAGAAATACAAGGCATGAACCGGTGCACCATAAATTAATAAATTAATTAGAAAATACAGTGAATTAACGTTGTACCAATGAAACTCTTCTTCTCTATTGATAACAGTGGCCTATTCCATGCCATGGGAAAACCAAACAGTAGCATACACAAAATGGCAAAAACAAAAGCTTAACCTCGTGTACATGCATCTAATAAACCAATTAACTCGCTAGTACTACCAGTGGCCAATTACATGCAAAATTATTACACACACCTATGAATCTATTAATCTAATTCTATGATAGGCGTCGAATCTATTTTAAGCTTGTTGGGAAAAACTACTCACATTACATAATTTCACATTACATATCGCAAAATTATGAGATGCACAAAACAAACCTTCAATCCCAGGAAAAATAACATGCTGAAAAAAATATAAATAAAATATAAAATGGTTAAAGGAAGCAAACCGAAACCTGTGTGATACCATAGTCTCCTTAAAATAGATTCGCCGCCTCACCGTTGGGTGCTGGAGGTACGCCGGCGTCTACTTCCCAGGATACGACGGTTTTTACCAGCTACAACAGAAGCACCTTCTGATTAGCTTAGCGAACGGACAACGGCAGCACTCTCTCTCAGGAAGAAAATTATAGGAGAAGTAGACTGACAGTGTATGGATGTCAAGGAAAAATTCTATATCTCTTTTCAATGAATAGGGCCTCCTTTTATACACTATGTGGGAGAGGGGAGGAGCCTCTAGCCATCAAGGCTGGCAACTAATGCTAGCAAAACTGCCCAATCAATTTTGTAAAACTGACGAGTCTTAAATGTATAAGTTATATACACATTTATGAGGCAATTTCTTATTCAACTATTTTCCTCCAACAGTTTCATGTTTACTGATAATTGGAAATATGTCTTATCTTTGAATTATGTGTGCTAGTGAGGTTTTGATTACAGCTAGAATCCTATACAAGTGCAATGATCCTATATATTGTACAAATTGTAGTCCTACTAGGCGTGTGTATTGTCTTGATGTAAAAGGGGTATTAGATTTGACGAAGTATGGTGTTTTTTGGACCCCTCCTGTTTCAGGCTATTTTTACCCCCTCCTGCATAAATTCTATGGTTCCGCCACTACCTTCGAATTCATCAAAAAATTTATAAATTATTTTGTTGCTTATACTAGCAATCCTCAACCTAGACCCATTTAGTTTTGGATAATATAAATTGTCGTATTTGTGCATCCATCAGTTCATAACAAAATTATATATTTTCCCATCTATAAAACTAATGTTGGGTTTAAAATCCAGTTTCAAGATTCATAATGATCAAACTAAATCTTTAGACCATCAGCAAACATTCATCCATGCATCCATCCCTCAATTTGTTTCTGCCAAAATACATTTTCTAGTGTTTCTTTGCATCCATAAAATTAATGTATTCGCAGTTATATTAATGGTGGTGGCAGGAGAGTGGGAGTCAAGGTGGTAGTGGTGGTGGTGGTGGTGGGTTGGTGAGAGTGGTGTTAGCAGGGTGTTAGGATGGTTGTGGCGGCTATTGCAATGGGATGGCATGGCAGCAATGATGATGGTAGTGACAATGGCAGTTGCGTGGTGGAGCTGGCTGATGTTGGTGGTAGTGTGGTACAAAAAACATCTTAGTTCAAAACACATTTTTCGCCTTTCAAAAATTGAAAAATATTCAGTCCAAATGAACTGGTCTTACATTGAATTCGAGCGTACACCTAGAAATTTAGAAAAATAATGGGACAGACAGCATCCTGCATGATCAACACATGCTATGGATAGCAGGCGGACACCTAACATGCATGGTAATGACATTTCTCAAACCAAAAGAGATTCATCAACAGAAGGCTGACACAAGGAGCATAAAACCCCCAACAGTGTGCATGTTAACAATGTAACAAGGTCGAGATACAATCATAAAACCAGAACTCAAAATCCAATCCAAGCCTACGACATTGAAAGAAGTGGAATCCACGGCAGCCCAGTTCTTAACTAAAAAGCTGAGTGAAACCAAATCTCAGTACAAAATTCTCAGCCAAAATGTTGGAAATTTTAACGAAAATACTTCAAATAAAATCATACAACTGGAATATGAAAGGTTGACTACTATCTTAGATTATCCCAATCTTGTTTGCCACGTCCAAAGCATCATAGTCTGGTGTCAACCTCACATAGGCTTTCTTCGTCCCATCAGGCCTGAAACAATGACAAACACAAATCAGATTCAGTGTAGTATAAAATATGAGAACATGTCAGAATAAATTTGTTAAATTACACAACGCTAGTGGTGTATGCAGACAATAAAAGGAACATGAAATGGTTCCATTTTATCTGGCATGGGACATTTCCCTGTCTTTAAAACAAAAACCGATTATCACAAATTATTTTTGCTTCATAAAAGCCCTAGATGCCACCCCTACAGGCAAACTCCTGAAAGAATCATTGGACTGAATAAAATACAATGAAATTAACAATTGAATGCTTTCTTTCTGTTAGAAAACCAAATCCACCACAATAATCAATCAACAACCATATAACCACATCTCTCAGATTATGAGATCATATGACCTAATTGTAAGTTGCAACAATGATTGCACAAGCGATTGATCCACATGTGCTAACAAGTAAAACTAATATTTAAATTGATATTGATTCTTTTCCATATATATAGAATATCAGTGCTGAACTTGCAAGCTATACAAAAATAAGGAATCACAAAACCATACATGCACACCAGATAAGTTGATATTGAAATTTTAAACAAACCAAAGTTAAGAATATTTAAACACAAAATATAATATCAATACCAATAATAACAATCAATTGCAGTAAGTAGAGAAAATGTAAGCTTTTACCTAATCAAGGTATTCACTTTCTTGGTCTGGATGTCATACATCTTCTTGACTGCATCCTTGATCTTCTTCTTGTCAGCACGGATATCAACAATGAAAACCAAGGTGTTGTTATCTTCAATCTTCTTCATTGCTGATTCAGTGGTGAGTGGATATTTTAGGATTTGGTACTGATCAAGTTTGTTCCTTGGGGTTGCACTAATGCGAGGGTACTTGGGGTTCCTATCCTTCTTCAACGTCCTTGGTCGATGGAAGGTGACTGTTGTTCTTATCTTCTTGGCCTTCTTCTTAAAGGTTGATGAACCAGATTTCACAGCTTTGGCAGCCTTCAAGGCTTGGGCCTTCGCATCAGACTTTTTAGCAGGGTCAGCTGCATAAAAAGAAAATTTGCCTCTTTAACAGACAAGAATAGCATGCAAACATAATTTATTTACTCCAGAATGTGTGTGTTTGGGTACGGGCATGTAATCATGGGCACACACCAATGTTCACCTAGTTACTAAGTTACTCCACTTCAGCAGTATTTCCACCCTCTTAAATTAACTTCAATCTTATCATCTTCAATCTCAAAAGAAGACTTTATAGTTGATATGGAGATTACTTCTAATTAAGGCCTTTAAGCATATCCTTATACAACATGTTCATCTTGGTCTTTTAAAGAAAATTATTATTTATAAAAAAAAGGATACTTTTTTCTTGGCTCCTTTAAACAGTACACCTATTCTTTTTGAACGACGTGCATCTATTGACACTTCTAAGCTGTGTTTGGATCTAAGATTTGGATAAGGATTTTTGAAGTAAAAGGAAAAAGTATGAAGCATGGGTACTGGTACGAGCACTGATACTGATACGATACGGGTACGTCGATACGGTAAAATCCAAAAAACGTAAGGTATGCTACAGCTACGGCTACGGCTTGATACGCTTATAAAAAAAATATTTATTTTTAATTTAAAGTAATGCAAAAATTAATTAAATAATTTAATTTGTTAAGATCCAACCCAGTGTTTTAAAAGGCGCGCTTAAGCGCGAGGCGCAATGAGGCGCAGCCTTGCGCTTCGAACAGATCGAGGCGCGGCGCAACACGCGAGGCGCAGCTTGGGCGTTGAGGCGAGAGCTTTTTTTTGAGGCGCAAGGCGCGGGCTTCATGGGCTTTACTCATTTTTCTACTCCAATTGTTGATTAAGTGCTTTTTTTGTGGATATACCCACAGGGATTCAAAACTATTCAATATAAAATGACCAAATGTAGTCAAAAGAGAGCAAAAAGTGATAAAAGATTGAATGTTATACTTTATATCTTTTGTTGGATATTATATTTTTAATTTTTAGAAAATTGAATGTTATGCTTAGAGATTATCGAAAATGGTTATGATTTTTTAAATATTATATATATATTTGTTATGTTGAAAATTTTGCCTATTTTATAATTTTGCTTTTCTTCTACTACTTGAGCTTCGCTTTGGTGAGGTGCGCGCCTCGCCTCACGCCTCGCGCTTACGCTATAGGAGACCTTATCACCTCTGTGCGCCTAGAGCCTTTTAAAACACTGATCCAACCTATAATTAACATTTAATGTCAAAAGTAAAGGTATAAATCAAAAGTAAATGACAATATATTAAATAACTTACAAACCATAGTTTAATTTTAAAATCATGCCAAGCATAAAACTAAAAATAAAAAAAAAAGTCTAGTGAAAGAAGTTTTATCTCTGTAGTAGAAGAAAATATTGTTTCAACTGAGGTACGGTATGACATGGCTTGGGTATATACTAGGTACGTTTGGATACGCCAAAAATTAAGAAGAAAAAATTTAGGTACGTGTTTCGTGTACCCGATATATATACAGAAGTACCATACGAGGTACCATACGCTAGTAAGTACCCGGTACGGGTACAACATGTTTTTCGAAGTATCCATGCCTCATAAGGGAAATATGAATGAAATATAAACTATTTTTTCCCCTATTTCCCTCACATTTTTCTTTACCTTTCTGAATCCCTACCCAAATAAAATGATCCAAACACAACCTTAGTGGATTTTATTCTAATTTATATAATACAAATAAAAATACAAAAATTGTCCTTGCTATTTTTTTTGAAAATTCTGCTATACATCTAGATAAGACCAAAAAACAATATGGCTAAGTAACCTATCTCACTTAGACTGATTCATGTTTGTTGCTGAACCTTGACAGCTAGGAAGCACGGATACCGATACGGGATACGAATACGATACAATACGGATACGGCGATACGACAAAATTTGAAAAACTAGGATACGGGTACGGCGGGAATACGTTCATAAAAAATATTTTTTAACAATTTTTAGTAATGCAGTATGCATAAAAATAAAACCTAAAGCAAAAGACAACTTGATAAAGAAGAAAGATTCCTATAAAACTAAGAGTCTTCAAGGTCAATAGCTTCAACTTGTTCCCCTTCATCATTGAATATCACAAGACCTTAGCTAAAGCCAAAAAACCATTCTTAAATAAAAATTTCAGCAAATATACTTTTTTAAGTCATCAATGATAGCCTAGGAAGCACGGATACGAATATGGTGATATGGGGATGTGGATATGGCGATATGTCAAATTTTGAAAAAGTACGATACGGGTACAACGGGGATACATTCATAATTTTTATTTTTTTTATATAATTTTAATAATGTAATATGCATGAAAATAAAACTTAAAGTAAATTAATAAATAAGTAGAGGGATTCCTATTAACCTAAAAGTGCTCAAACATTCATAAAACATTCAAAACTAAAACTAAAAGCAAAAGCAAAAGCAAAAGCAAATGCAAATGCAAATTAAACATCATCCTTACATGCCAACATCAAAAAAAGAATGAGAGCAGAGAGAAGAAATGTGAGAGAGTGAAAAAGCGAGAGAGAAGTGAGAGAGACAACAAGGATACATCAATTTGACAAATTCTATTACTTTAACTCTCAGTATATTCCTCTTATCAAAGAACTAAACAAAATATTATAAGTAATATATAACTTCGAGTATCCGATACTTCAAAATTAAGTATCCGATACTTCAAAATTAATAAAAAATTAATTAAGAAGTATCTGATACTTTTAAGAAGTATCCGATACGTATTCGCGAGTATCCGAGGAGTATCGGTATCCGATAAGTATCCGATACGGATACGTCACCCTTTTTGAAGTATCCGTGCTTCATAGCTTGAGAGCTGGTTCTTCTCCAATTCTTTTCTTCTGCTTCATCAGTAAATCTCAGTTTTTATATAATTAAGGGTTTTAGTCTTAAGATTAATTTTGCTACCGCCTGCCGCTTCAACACAGACCAACATACCCAATAAAATGATACAACACCCTACTACCTAAATAGTTTGGCATCATGATTATTTCCATAAAACTATTAAAAATGATTGGTAGCTCGAATATGAGTTTGCCCGAATCACCCAAATTTGTGCATTCCGATCGTCATCCGGGACAGTGCAACACTTGTCTATCGCAGTCGTCACCCTTGTCGACCACGGCTGTCACCGTGTTGCCGGACGGCCAGCAAGCCAAAATTCGGGCGACGTAGCATTACTCTAAAAATATATATTGGTCTCAAATGAGAATCTCTCTCAGAATAAGTTACTTTCAAACAATTGTTATGGTATTCAAAGCTCATTTTATTCCAGACAAGAACGGAACCAGGATTTCATCACCGGAGGGGCCAAAAGACAAATAATTTTTTTTTACTATATGCATATGTGCGCATGTATGTATAATATGATATATAAATTATGTATATACACAAAAAAAAATCAAATACCATAGAATAATTTCTAATAGCATGGAGTTTTTTTGGTGCAAAATAAAAAGAAAGCATAAGATAGGAGAAAAATGAGATATGTATTTTTTTATACTGTGGGCCATTTTATATATAAAATGAGATATATTTTTAAAATACTATTTTTCACAAAAACATGGCCCCCAAAGTCTTCTCCTAGTTCCATCCTGATTCTGGGTGACCACAAATCAATAGCAAATTAGAGCTCTATAGTTAGGTGCATATATATATGATGAGAAATGGAGTACATACCTTTAGCAGGAGCCATTGTTGAGTGCGGTAACCCTAAACCCTAAAAAAATCTACCTAATACCCCTGCACAAATTAATCAAAAAATAGCACCGAAAATTTAATAGAAACGTAAAATCTAGCAGTGAATTTGTAGAATACAGACTCAACATCGCACGAGAGAGAGAGAGAGAGAGAGTACCTGATACGAACTGCCGTCCTAGGGTTTGCAAGAGGAGAATAGAAGAGGAGCACAGCACTTATACGAAGCTCGAGCATGCGCCATTCCCGTGCCAGTATTAATTTATGGGACATTTTATCCATAGTTTATGACCTTATATTCCGTTGAGTCTTAAATTTTTTTGAATTTTTACGTTTTATTAAAATTTTAGTAGTTGAGATTATTTTTTAAACAATGATTGTTCATCATTTATAATTTTTTACAAAGGAGCATAATGATTTGACAATTCTTTTGATTTTTACAACTTTAAAATATTAACTTATAAATTGAAAAAACTAAAAAAAATTATGTGCAAAAAAAAAATAATAATAATAACAATTTTTTTTGTGCAAAACTGAAAGCTTTATGTCTATAAACGAACACGATGATGGAACATTGATGTGCAAAAACGAAAAAAAAAAAATTTAAATGAAAAAATTGATAATATTTTCAATTTTAAAATTAGAAAAAACTGATAATATTATCGATTTTATTAGATAGTTGAATCAAATCAATAAGTATAATGATAAAAACGTTTAATCTCATCCTCTGTTTTTTCGTCAGTTATTGAAACAATTATCTGAATCATTACTATGCAAAATTGATAATGTTCTTAATTTTAAAATTTTAAAAAAAAAATTTGATAATATTATCAGTTTTACTAAATAAAACTTATTGGTTCAAAAAATATTTAAAATGACATAAGTTACTATAACATTTGTAAATAAGACTTTTAGGTAATTAGTAATTTTTCTTACTCTTTCTCCCTTTATTTATTTATTTTGTTTGTTAAATAGAAAAATTACAAAATAAATAAATTTAAGGTTTCAGGTTGTACTAAATAATTTTTTAATTTTGTAAGTTTTAAATATAAATTTAAAATTATCATAATTAGCTCATAATTTTTATATTTAGGAGTAATAAGGGTGACATTAAAATTATTTATATATTTTAAGAAGAGATATTATGAGAGTTTCAGAAACTCATAAAAAATCTATATACTATTACAATTAAAAACGTTATCATCCTACTAAAGCTTAAAGTTGCAATTATTTATTTTGTTTAATTTTTGTTAATATGTGTCACAATATGATTGTTTTATAAATTAATTTAATATTTTCAAAATAAAATTTCAAATTTAGATTCTTTTTAAATTATGTTACTAGAATAAGATCAATATTCATTCATTAATTTATGGATCTTTTATTAAATTATAAAATAAAAATTTAAATTTAAATTCTTTTTTAAATTATGTTACTACAATTAAAATGAAATCAATACTCACATGTATCATAATATTATTGGTCTACACATAATATGTTATTAAATATATGTATTCAAATTATTAATCATTATTAAAAGTTTATATATATATTTTTTGTTTTAAATTTTATAAAAAAAAAAATTATGTCCTTCTAAACTACAAGGACTTAAACAATAATTTTTTTTAATACAAATATTTTTTTTAACAACATACAAAAACATTAAAAAAATGAATGATTTTTTTAACAATTGACAAGCATAATGGATTCTATTAATTTTTTTTTAATCTTAATTGTCAATTAAATAAATTAAAATAAAAAAAAATTGGGCTTAAATAGTTACGAAGTTACTTTTGTTAAAATTAAATAGAAATAAATATTTTTTTCCTACTAAAAGTGATCGTTGGTAAAACTTATTTTTTTTACATAATAAAAAAAATGGGAGTTACATGTGATAATTTATTGTTCTAGCAATGCTACAGACTCACACTTTCCCCTACAATGATGTGACAAGGGAGTTGGGCCACATGTCATTGAATATATGACAAATCAATAGTTGATATATATGATACCACATCATTGTAGATACAATCGTAGGTTTTTTTTGTGGGTCTTAAACATTTTTCTTATTGTTTATCTAGACTCTTTTGGCGCTTGTGAAATATGGTGGATTCTGTTAATTTTTTTTTTTAATCTCAATTGTCAATTAAACAAATTAAAATAAAAAAATGAAAAGATTTTAGTTCAAATTACTAAAAAGTGAGTTTTGCTAAAACAAATATAAATAAATGTTATTTTTCTAATAAAAGTGATAGTTTGTGAAATATCTTTTTTTATTTAAAAAAATAAGGATTATAGGTGATAATTTATAGCGATTCCGATTTTAACCCAACTCTTTTGTATCTTGGACTCGGGTTTCGTGATTTCGTAGTGTTGTTCATGTCTTTTTCCCCTCATACTTCCTTGAGTTTGGTTATTGGATTATAACAGTTGCATTTGAAACAAGTTGATTGCTTAATTTTCAAACTTTTATTGCCTAGAACTTTACTCTTCCGCTCGAGCGACACTTCTTGTGCTCGAGCGGGCTTTGTGAACTCTCAGTACTTTTGTAGGTCTGCAAAACTACTGGGAGAGTGTATTCTATGCTCAAGCGGTGCTTTCTGCGCTCAAGCGGTCTCAACTCAAGCGGCCTTTCTTGCACTCGAGCGTTGGTTTATTGTCTGCAAAACTGCTGGGAGTGTGCATTTTGCGCTCGAGCGTCACTTTCTGCGTTCGAGCAGACTGTGCGTATATCAATTTGCAACAGCACCTTTCTACATCACTTTTCCACATATTTTTCTCTCAAAACCCTAGATCTAGAGCCTCTCTCTCTAAAACTCACTCTCTCTACATTTTCATCTAGATTTGTTGGTTTCTCTACCTGTTACGACCTAAACTCGCCCCTATAGGTTTAGCGTCATGACCGGCCAGTAATCCTAATATTACTGAAGGCCTCTTAACAAAATCACAAAATAAAGGGATAGCAGAAGCTAATACATAAAATATAAATTCGACCAATGAGCTGTGCTAACTTATATGAAACAGAGATTTTTAAATTTATACACAATGTCCAAAAGCCATTCTTACATTATACCCACACACATAATAGTCAAAGCAAGAAGGTATAAAACCTCATCTACAAAAACTTGTCTTAAACCTTAACAAAGAAAACAAAAGTTAAGTCAATCACAAGGTCTTGAACACACGACATATTCGGAACCTCTATGGGAGGCGCAATGGTTAGCTTGACAAAACAGAACTAGACAAAAGTCTTCAAGTTTGATCTCCAGAACGCTCACCTATATATATATATATACACACGGTGAGCTAAAATCCAATGAATAACATTAATGTAAAGAGGTTAGTGAACGAATTTTGAACGTACCATAGTCATAAAATAGATCATAATAGAATCATTCTCATATCTGAACATAATAATGGTACATCCAATAGAACATATCATATCGTCATCCGACTAGAGTAATCGGTTTCGGATACCGATTAAACACATCACCACTTTGACAAGTGGCTAACGAGATCTCGTAATCACATATATGTCATGGACCCGCATTAACATGTCGTCCCCCATGACTTGGGACTATCTATAGATGCCATAATAGATTTCAAACATAGGACGTTCGTTCACGTAAATAAATATCGTTTCAGAAATCATAATTTATCAAATCACATGTGGAACATAATTCATATGAACATATCATTACAATAACGATACTCACAGTGGGCTTCCAGAAACGGTTGGTCAGTCTTCGAGTCTTGACCTACAAACACAAATGTACATAACACAAAACATGTTTCATTATTACTCATCTATATGGCCATACATGGCTTAGCTTTCTTCCTTTAACTTCTTATTCATTCCATAACACATAACTTGTTCATATTGAACCACATACTCAGATTCAACACATATTTTCTAATTCACTTACGTATGACGTTTCTTAGCTTATTAATCCTTAATGGCTCATAAATCATGCCAAAGAATGTCCAGACAGAGATGTGAGCGAAGATATATACTCAAAACATCTTTTAAAAACATGTTGAAAATAAGCTGTTGGCTAGAGCTAGCTTTTTGTCGCTAGAGCTAGCTAAAGGCAAAAACTGAGCTCGCTCAAGCCACCATTTGGTCGCTCGAGCCAGCTTTTGCAGAGTTCAAAATACTGGGAGCTCACAATGTTGGCTCGAGCCACCACTTGATCGCTCGAGCCAACTGTGAATTTTCTAGGTTTTAAAACACAAAGTTTGGGCTCCAAAAATGTATTATAACTTGTAAAAGCTTGCATGGCCATTCCAAACTCATGAAAACGCCGGGATAACACTTACAAACTTCTTTAAATCACGAATTATAGGACAATTTACTAAATCAAAGCTCAAAACTTTTATGTATGCAAGATTTTCAACCCCTTTTTATCTCATACTCTTCAAAACATGAATTTGAGCTCCAAAATAATATAATTCATGAAGTAAAACTCTTGAAACTTTTAGAAATCAATGATGCATGTATAATTAGCTTCCAAATCATTATCAAACTTAAAAATGACAAAACATGGCAAAATCATGCATGTATGTAGAGTTTCTTCAAATTCTTTTTTCAGAGGTCATAAAACATGAAATTCACTCCTAAAGCTTTGTGAATTATGCATGCATGTACAATTTATCTTCTAAATTCAACATGGATAACATGAATCATGTTCAAAATGATGAAATTAAAAAAAACTAAACATGCATATATGAATTGACTCTAAATTCATCATCTTTAGTTCAATTCTTGCACATAATCACAAATCCCTCTTGAATTAATCTAATTGATGGCTTAAACTCATAATTAAGTCTTGAATTCTCACCTAGAGTCTTGAATAAGCCAAATTCTTGCAAATCTTGGAGCTTCTTTTCTTAATCTTCAAGAATCAAGCCTTAATTTTTCGAATTCTTTAGCTTTCTCTCTCTAAAAGTGTACTCAATCTCTCTCTCTAAAAGCTATCACCAGAATTTTCCACTCAAAAGAAACATTATTGAACTCAAGAATAATCTTAAAGGGCCACTTATATAGTTGTAATGCCATAATACATTAATTAGAATATTAGGCTTGCCAAACACAATTTAATTAATCTGACTAAATCAATTTTTAATCAAAAAATTGCCATATTCTAAAAATTCTAAATAACATATTGAGGTAATCAATTTCAGTTTCAAATGCCGATAAAGCTTTCAATTTTTAGATCAAAGCAGAATTCCAGACAGATATTTCTACAAGTGAT